CTGCTTTTCAAGGACTGTCGGTTTACCAATGCTGGCCGTAGTTTTTAGAGACTAACATGATGGTTATCTGTGATAGGTTGGACTTTGGTCTCCTTGCATGTCCCTGCTTTTTACCAGCCGTTCTAGATTCCGTCTAATCGCCACGACTCCGCTGCAAGTTGTTCTCTCCCTTAAGAATGCACTTGGTGCTTTGCCTTTATTGACAATTCCCCTGGAGAGTGTTGACTCAGCTTTCATGCATTTTGGGCTGTACTGCTTAAGCAGCCCATGAACTCGTTTTCTTGTGTCAAACTCTAGATATGCATTTCGAGGCCTAATCCAGTGAGTATGAGAACATAATATGAAGTTAAACGATGAATCCAATGGTCGTGAAATCTAACATTTGCCAGACTAAAGTGCTTTCAGTGTGCGAAAATCCGACGTTCCATGCTAGTTTTATTTATCATTCAAGAGCTAAGTCACCAATATCGTCTTTAGAGTGTTCTATCCACAGAAGCAGTGTGCCAGTCACGAGGTAGTCAGCCACAAAAGTTTGCAGTTCATATTTTGGCTTGTTTCTTTTTATCCAGTTGTAAACAGCCAACGCAAGCCACATTAAAAACGATGAGGTTAAACTTACTTTTTAACCCACGTCGACTCATCCGTTTTTCAGGTTTTTATCAAGGTCTCTGTCAATATCAATGTACACACTAAATTTGCAGTTACGTTAGGAGCCGCTCGTTTCATGGACAGCGGTGCGCTCTGTCGGTTGAGGAGCTTTTTCTTGTTAGGGCCTGTGTTGAAAAGTTAAAATGCGCGTCTAGCGTACCAAAATTATATTCTAATTGTCCTCAGCTAGTATAAGAAATTAGAATACCGACTCCTCTGTAGTTCACGATTTATAATCACCATTGTTAGGAGGATTCAGCAACCAGCCGTTCCCTTATAAACAGTCGAATATGATAGTATTGTGGTGTCTATGCCGCTCACACGTATTTCACTGTGTCTGCTCACTGACACTAAATTTCGGGGTTGCCCAACATGTCAGGCGGGAGTTTTCTCATGCCAACCTCTTGCCATAACTGATTTTGAAATTAAGCGCTCAAAACAAAGGAAGCTCCAATTTTGGATTAAAATATTTAACAGTCGTCGATTTTCCACCCTCAAAAATTGTTTGGGACCAGCATGTCACATTATTTTAACGTTAGCCAAGCCTGATCATAATATGTCTTGATAATTGGTAATTTTCTCCAACCCATTTCCGTTTACTTTGCGTCTTTAAATTGATCCTTTCAAAAGCTGTCCAACTAAGTGTTTTTTGATATCTTAATTTGCTGTAGAATATGGAGGACCAAGGAGAACAACAAGCACCACCGACTGATGGAAACTTTCCTCAGCCAGCTGCACTCACGAGCGATCCGCAGATTTTAGAGACACCCGAAGACATCAGAAACCGAAGAAACCAGGTTCTTGACCGATATGCAGCTTTCAAGGAGGCAACGGACGAACGTCGACGACGCCTTGAAGAGGCAAAACGGTGCGCTGTTCTTCCTTCTATTTATTTTTAGGTATCAATACTTTAAGCGCGATGCCGACGAATTGGAAAGTTGGATGCTGGAAAAGTTGCAGACCTACCAGAACGAGGACTTCAAGGACCTTGCCAATTTACAAGTAATTCTTTCGTTCACGTACTTGCTATCTTGTAGAGCAAAAAACAAAAGCATCAAGCCCTGGAATTGGAGGTGAAGGCTCAGTCAGAAACTTTAGCTTCTTTGGATAAAAGCGGCGAGGAAATGATATCGCAAAACCACTACGCGTCCGAGATAATAAGGGTTTGTTTGGCTATTTTGTGATTATTCTCTTTTTCCAGAACCGTTTAGATGATCTACACGCTCTCTGGGACAAATTAATGGCCATGTTCCGCGAAAAGTCTCGTTTGCTAAATCTTACCCTGGAGTACGTACAATTTCTGCGTCGGGTGGATGAGATTCTGTTTTGGATTCGTGAAAAAGAAACTTTCGTAACCTCAGAGGAATTTGGACAGGATCTAGAACATGTTGAAACACTCCAGAAAAAGTATGACGAATTTGTCAAGGTGAGGTCCTTTTTGTTCCGCGTAGCCCATTTAGTTTTCCTCGTCACTTGTTTATGTATTTGAATTTTTACACTTCCCATAACTCGTTTTAAGTTATCCTCGGTTTGCTTCTGAGGATAACGCTTATTTAACTTACTCAACTTCAACTTGTGACAGTCCACTTTCAAATTAACTTTTCATGGTTTCACTTGTACTCCAACTTAGTTTTTCTTTGTCTTAAGGACTTGGAATACCAAGAAGGACGGGCTGCAGAAATATACACGAAAGCCGACGAACTTATTCAAGAACTGCCTGAAGAAACTCTCGTCATGGACAAGAAACGTGAAGTTCAAGAGGCCCTGGAGCGCCTGAAGGATCTCGCCAGGAAACGCCAGCAAAAACTGTTTGAGGCTCACGAGATCCAACGTTTCTTCCGCGATACTGATAAAACCATTTCCTGGATAAATGAGAAGTCAATTCCACTGTCTGTTGAAGACTGCGGCCGTGACCTTGTGTCCGTTCAAGCCCTGCAAAGAAAACACGAGGCGTTGGAGCGTGATCTGGCTGCATTAGAGGACAAAGTTACACAGTTAGGCGTTGATGCTGACGCCTTGTCTGAGAAACACCCGGACTCGCGCGATAACATC